GCCAAACATTGCGAGTTCAAGGACCTCGAAGAACGACTGAGGGACCGATTTGTGTGCGGGCTAAGGCATCGAGAGTTGCAACAGAGACTTTTCGCCAAGGAGGACTTGTCCTTCCAAGATGCCTTAAGAGAGGTCACCACAGAAGAAGCAGCGGGCGGCGCCATCAAGAACATGCGGCCGATCAGAAACAGTCCAGATGCTGCATCCGTGCACCAGGAAGAAGTCCAAAGAAACTCCGAGGAGGATCCGGACGAGGAAGTGGACTGTCTCCACCCCACAAAGGAAGGAAAACCAAGAGGAAGCTCTTCAGCTCTCCCCAAGTGCATCGGTTGTGGAGGTCGCCACAAGAGAGCCGACTGCAAGTTCCGCTCCGCTATCTGCCGGGCGTGCGGAAAACAAGGACACATTGCAGCTGTGTGCCGTCAGAAGGTACAACCTCAGGAAGAATTGCGCCTGAAAGGTACCAGGGTCCCCAGCCAGAATAGGGTGGGGTTTTGCGCTTCGCGAAGAAGCATCTACAGGACAGGCACACACAAGCCCATTAAGAAAAAGCTGTCACTTAAGGTGAAGCTACAAGGGGTTCCATTAACTATGGAACTGGACACGGGGTCTGCACTTTCCATCATTTCTATGCACACATTTAGGAAGATTTGTTCCGGCAGCGGAACCCAGGCCAAGTTGAGGCCTTCTGACATTGTGCTAACGGATTTTCAAAACTCCAGAGTGTGTGTTAAGGGGGAGGCCACCCTTAACGTATAGTATAAGGATTTTGAAGGTCCACTAAACCTACTAGTAGTAGAGGGTGAACGAACGAGTCTCATAGGACTCGAGTGGTTTGAGGCCTTGGGGATACACATCACAGGGCTCAACAGCCTACAAACACTCGACCTACAGGAAGTCTGCAAAGAATTTGCAGATGTTTTCAGCCCCCAGCTGGGCACATGCAAAGGACCCCCTGTGTCATTAAAGTTAGACCCCACGGTCACTCCCATTAGAATTAAAGCAAGAAGGGTCCCTTTTGCTTTAAAGAATAAAATTGACACTGAGTTGGACAAACTGATCCAACAAGGAATTCTAGAACCTGTTGAGTCCAGTCCATGGGAGACCCCCATTGTCACGCCTCTTAAGGCAAATGGGGACATTCGCATCTGTGCTGATTACAAATGCACTCTAAATAAGGCATTGCAGCAACATGCCTATCCTGTTCCTGTGGTCAGTCATATCCTGGCCTCCCTCAAGGGGGGGCGCGTTTTTGCAAAGCTTGACCTAGCTCAAGCATATCAACAGCTGCCTGTTGATGATGACGCTGCTATAGCTCAGACTATTGTGACCCACAGAGGGGCTTTCAAGGTAAAGAGACTTCAATTTGGAGTAAATGTCGCTCCTGGGATGTTCCAAAGCGTAATGGAAAACACACTACGGGGTATACCAGGGGTTTGACATTTTGATGATGTCTTAATTGCAGGAGACTCCACACACATTCTAGCTGAAAGGCTAACGGCTGTCCTGTTAAGGTTCAGGAAAACGGGACTCAAACTCAAGAAGGACAAATGTAAAATTGGGGTACCTTCTACTGAGTTTCTGGGGTTCAAAATTGATGCTGCTGGGATTCATCCTGCTGAATCCAAACTAAAAGCCATTATGCAAGCCCCTAGGCCAAAGTCTAAGGCCGAACTGCAGGCTTTTCTGGGCCTTCTGAATTTCTACAATTCTTTTCTTCCACATAAGGCTTGTGTAGCTGAGCCTCTTCACAGGCTATTAGATAAACAGGCAGTGTGGCAGTGGTCACAAACACATGAGGCTAGTTTCAATGAGGTCAAGGCCTTACTCACTTCTAACAGCGTACTTACTCACTTCAATGAGTCCCTTCCTGTGTGCATCGCTTGTGATGCTTCCCCTTATGGGGTGGGTGCTGTACTGAGCCACCTCAGGGCTGATGGAACTCAGGTTCCTGTTGCATATTACTCCAGGACATTGTCTGCAGCTGAGCGCAACTATGCTCAAATATTGCTGGAATTAAAAAATTCCATGATTTTTTTATATGGTAGGCAATTCACGGTCTTCACTAACCATAAGCCTTTGTTGGGACTGTTTACCACACGTAAACAAACTCCCCAAATCATCTCCCCCAGGATGCTCAGGTGGTCTATCTTTTTGTCTGCATATGATTTTTCCCTACTTCACAAGCCTGGGAAGGAAATGGGCCATGCTGATGGCCTCAGTAGATTACCCCTGCCGGTAATAGAGGCTGACCCCGCGATAGCCATCAATATTCTCTCCATTCAAGCCTTGCCCGAGTCCCCCCTGAATGCCAGGGATGTAGCCGCTGAATCAGGCACAGATCACACACTTTCACGTGTCCTTTCTTGGGTTTTGTCTGGATGGCCTGAGCACTGTCCTAGTCCTGAGTTTCAGAGTTTCTGGTCTAAAAGGAACGAGTTGTCCACCTCTCAGGGTTGTCTGCTTTGGGGAAGCAGGGTTGTCATTCCCACCTCAATGAGGACTAGGGTCTTAGATTCCCTCCACGAGGGTCATCCTGGCATTGTTCGTATGAAGGCTCTTGCACGCAGCCACTTGTGGTGGCCAAGGGTAGACAAAGACATAGAAGCTAAGGTGCATGCTTGCCACCTTTGTCAACGTTCACGCCCTGAAATGCCCCAAGCTCCTGTGCATAGATGGGAGGAAACACAGTCTCCATGGTCTAGGGTGCACATTGACTACGCTGGGCCCTTTCAGGGTCAATTCTTCTTGGTCCTCGTTGACAGCCATTCAAAATGGCTTGAGGTTGTACCTGTCTCTTCCACCACCACTGCAAAGACTATTCAGGTACTGAGGGGGATTTTTGCTGCACACGGGCTCCCAGACGTCATTGTGTCTGACAACGGCCCTCAATTCACTTCCTCCGAATTCCAAGCTTTCTTGCAGGCTAACATGATTCGTCATGCCACTTCTGCACCTTTCCACCCGTCCACCAACGGTATGGCTGAACGCATGGTTCGCATCACCAAGGACGCCTTGAAGAGGCTCACCTACGGGGACTGGCATCACAGGTTGGCTGACTTCCTCCTTTCTTATCGCACCACACCGTCCACTTCTACAGGGAGAAGCCCAGCTGAACTTCGTTGGGGGCGCAAACTGACTACCAAGCTTGACCAGTTGCATCTGGACAGACTGCCTCCTTCTGTCTCACACCCCAGGGCACCTAGGCAACTACTTGTGGGTGCCCCGGTTTGGACTCGTAATTACGGGCCTGGTCATACATGGGTCCCCGCATCTATATCCAGGGTCACAGGTCCTCTATCCTACGAGGTATCCCTGGACAACGGTCGTGTCCTGCGTCGGAACATTGACCAACTTCGCCCTAGACGGGACCTTCCCGCTGAGACTCTTGGGTCTTTTCCAGGGGGGGAGGGGGAGCCCTTTGGGCAAAGGAAGGGGCATGGAATGCTGCCTTTTACCAATGAGGGAGCCACAAACGGCCCATCCCAAAATTCCGCGAGTGCTCCAAACAGGAATTCTAGGAGCTTAACCAGTTATCAGGCATTCACGCCTACTCCAGCCAGGGAGTCACCCCGGGGGCATGATCACTTTTCACCCGTATCACTCAGTACTCCAGTCAGAGAGAATACCCGGGAGCATCCCAACAATCCATTCCCTGCAAGAGAGCTGGCACACACTCCTCCTAGTTGGCCTGACTTAAACCCTGTCCCTAGAAGGGGGCAAACACACAGGGAGGTGGTCGAGGAACCAAATCCCGACTACAACACCTCTGACTACACTCAGGGGACAACTGAGTTTTGGGACAGTACTGAAACCCACACAAGCCCGGACACAGAACGGGATTCAGGGAATAGACAGCCTCCTGACAGGTCTTGGACGGACCTAGGAGGTTCTATAGAAACGCCCAACAGTGACAGTCACTTAGAAGGGCCAGAGAACCTACAGCTAGGCGGGACAACCAGGTCATACACTGGAAGAAGCCCTGGCCTGACGAGCCCGGTGGGCAAGCAAGCAGGCCAGGCATTGGAGCACAGTCCTTGGGAGTCACCAAGGCATGACAAGGGGAACAGGCACACATCACCCCTCAGTCAGGGGGTACCTGTCAGACACCCAGAATTTAGGAGGTCACAGAGAGCAAGGAAATCTCCTAAGTACTTAGAGGATTACATAACACTATTGGCTAAAAAGAGCCAGTAGAAAGGTAGAAACACTAAGGCAATGGAAACGGGGGAACTCCGAACATTCGGGGAGCAGAGCATTGTACTAAGAGTGGGTTGTGTATTATTATGGCATTGGTCATAGTTTTAGCCCGGGGGAAAGGGGTGTTATGTCCTGAGCCTTGCAAGCAGGCTCGGGGCATTGCAGGCGGTTCCGGGCAGGTGCAAGCTGCCCGGGACCAGACAGGCTGTCGCCAGTACTTGTGCACATGCGCGGGTGCTGGCGCGCCAAAAGTAGCAGATTGACCCGGGAAAGGCCTATAAAAGGAGGCCGAGAGTTTTGGGTGTTGCCGCCATATTCCAATGTAAGCTGAACTGAAGAATAAAGGTTTCCTGAGAACTACAACTGTTTCTCGTGTCTTACCATTTCGCGACGGACTCAACACTAACTATGTAAATCTGTATGGTTTATTGATTGATGGTTTTGCCATCACTGATCAGAGCTGCACAGAAATTACAGTATCAAGTTGAAATCCTAAGTCAATTAAAATACAACTAACTAAGAAAAGGGAGCATTTATGTAGTGCAAACAAAAGATGTTGAAAACTGCTCTAGCAATACTTACAGTTAAATACAGTTAAGTACTGTGGGCTACATGAATACACATCCATTACTTTAAGTATACATCTTCTAATAAAAATATGGAAGACTCCAAAGAATCAAGACCTAAGAGTTTCTTATATAATTTGTGAGGATAACCATTTTTCTATCCTATCATAAGCAGTATAGAGCTATGAGCCAAGATCAATCAAGCAAAATGCTTTTATTAGATTTATTGCTAACCTTCCATTGGAGTATTCCCATCTGGTCGATTTGCAAAGACCACATCCACATATTCAAGCTGCAGTCTCTGGAGAGAGGCTTTTAACCCTAGAAATGAAACAGGGGATCATTAGAGCCAAACACATGACAAGGAGTTTAATAGCTTAGAAGCATCATCCATTTAAGTTTTCCTCGAAGGTAGAGTGGGGAAGAGGTAAAATTATATTGCCTATTAAAAAAAAAAACAAGGGAAGAATGTCTCTCTTTTTGCATGGTTTTATTTTGTCTGCTTATTATGATGAAAACTGGACTGGAGAACGCAGGCATTGGCCAGTCAAACCCTAAAAGTACAAGAGGAAAGGTTTAGAAATACATCCTGTTTTAAGTTACACTAACCAATACGAAGCACTGTTTTCTTTTTTTATTGGAACTCTTCAGTAAGTTGCCAGATTTTATTCTATAGGGTTCAAACCCTCAACTGGAAATTGAATTCATGGATCTTTGTACTTTAGAGGACAATGCAATAATTTTAAGAGCTATCCAGGTGCTGGCACTCAGCAGTTGCAGGAAAGAACATCTAATCAAGTTCACATTGGTATGTGTCTTGTTTTGCAATTTATTTATTTATTTGCTTATCCCCGGTCCCAGTTAAAAATTATTTAAGACTTTCCACAAACTGAATATGCAAAATAGAAGAATTAGAATTACATATTACATTACAATGATTTAATAATAAACACATGACTTCAATATGGTGCAACAAAAGAAAATATGAGATCTTCAAACCACCTTCTCCAAACTGGCTAGAACTGGGGAATATGGGAACTGCAGCCTAACCATCTAGACCTGATTGTCACCATCTTTCTTCCCTTATGATGATGGTAAGACACAGAAAAGTGTCTTGGATACTCCTCTTAATACATGGAAAGTTTCATCTTAACATAAGTGAGAAGCGTAAAGACGAAATTTTCCATGTATTAAAAGGAGTATCCAAGACACTTCTCTGTGTCTTACCATCAGTTCCTGATTATCTCACGTGGGTGTTAAGAAATTTATTTAGCTGATTTACTTGCTCAATCTATATCCTACCTTTTCTCCAGAAGCTTGAGGAGACTTACATGGAAATATTCTTTCTGTATAGTAGGTGTGGCTGAGTTAGACATTGGTTCAAAATTATCTGATGAGTTTCCATAGCTAATGGTGAACTTAAACCTGGGTCCAACAACATAATCACTACACTACATTGGATCTATAGAATGGTTTACTACTTTGTGTGGAAAAATGTGCTATAGTGCAGTTTGGAAAGTGTGGAGACAGAGGCAACTCAAAACATTTTGAATTCCAGAGGAAATGTGCATCTTCAAAATTGTTTTAAGCTTTCATTTAAATTTATTTCTCAGCCCTGGTCCTTCATTTGGATTATTATACAAAAATAATGTTACTGATGGTTACAGCTCTGCACTGAGTATAAAATATAAAGCATTATTATATATGGAATAGGAATGGTGAGATCTTATTTTGTTTAGCTGCCTAAAATAACCTGAGTCCTTGAAGTGGGCAGCCTATAAATACTTTTATACATAAATAAGCAAATACCTTCAATAATGTGTTTCCTTGAAAGTCCTCTTTCTGTTTCAGCTCTGCAAAAAAATGTACTCATTAATAGTTCTTTTTCATATTTTTGATTAGCATGGAAAACTATTTGTAAAAACAATATAAAATATTTTACTAATAATAATGCCCTTGCATAAAGTATACTACCATATATGTTGGCCAAGCAACCTGTGGCATATGGTTTTTAGTGGCCTGGTCTGACTGCTGTTCAGCTGGTGTGAGTCAGTAAATGGAATGGGAAAAAGAGAGAAGCAGCTCAATTTTGGCCTTTGAAGGACAACTGTGCTGTCACTAGGAATGATGAGTTGACCCAGTTGTTATGAGGAGTTACAGAGATAGAAATCCCATTGATCTAGCCTGGTATATAGGCATTGGGGACTAGAACCCTGGAGAGACACCTACCTCCTCAGTTGCTGGGAGAAAAGCTACTAGTTTGACTAAAACTAGAAAGAAAGAGGGAGGAGAGAAAAGAGGATAAAATAGAGGAAGGAGTATTATGTATGATTTTGACCCCTTGAGTTATTTATAAAAAATAATAAAAGCAGGAATGCCTATGAGGTTCTTAGTCATCCGGGTCCTGGTTGACTTGAAGAGTTTCACTTCTTACCCAAGAAGCTTCTTCAGTTCTTCGAACCGAAGAAGTGTCTTGTATGAGAAGTGAAACGTCTTCAAGAAAAATTTTAAAAAGTCCTGTTGCCATTTTGAAAGTATTTTTCGGACAAGAAATATAGGAAATAAATAAATAAATATCAACAAATAGATAAATCAGTGGCTGAAGAGAATAATTGGAAAAGTAAATTTATATGAGCGTGCAAAGCAGTTGCCATTTCCGGGTTAGAAAAGGAGAATAAAGGTCTATAGGTGACTTCCATGGAAGAAGGGAAGATCCAGAGAGAGGACATCTTCATGCCAGTCCCAAGATGGGAAGGAAGAGTTTGTCAGTCATTGGCAAAGCCCTGATCCTGGGGAAAGGACTGGACAGAAGACCCTGAGAGATATTCTTCCAATAGAAGAGATTCCAGAAATTCTTCCCCAAACAGAGATGTAGTAGGCATTCAACTGAGCAGATCCAGAGAAAGTTCATGCCATACTGAACACATCACAGTAAGTCCAGCCCATTTCTTTCTTTGTACTCTTTTTCGAAAAGCCCAGAGACAGAGGAAAGAGATGGAGATAAAAGGACAGAAAGCAGGAAAGCTAATGGGGGGGGGGGGGAAGGAGGGGAGAGGGGAAGATAGTCTCTGGGTGGAAATGAGATACCAGATGAACACTAGGACTGTGTTGTATATACCTGTTGTAAATGCTTGTTGTAAGTAGTTTCACTATAAATAGTAAAAGCATAAAAAACTCCACTGTCTTGTTTTTCTGTGTCAATTGCCACCCATGCATAGCAAAATACACCTCCAGTTCAAAAGAAACCTGTCACAATTTTACTTCTCAACAAAATCTTTTTTTGGCCATCTTTCTTCTTATAGTCAACTTAGTTTTGACCTTCCACTATTACTTGTCAGCAACTAATAGTGTCTGGCGACTAATTCTTGGCTCAGAAACTATCTAGGGTTTCTAGGAGCAGGCTACTATTTAGAAGAAAGACGCCATAGATTACAAGGTTTAGGTTAAATTGGGAAGCTGAAAAAAAAAACACATTCTGGAGAAAAGGAATAGCAATTTAACAGGTATCAAAGTTAGCCAAATGCCCTGTTAAAATTAATCAGTAGGCATAGAAACAGATCTCCAAGATAAATGATTCATTCAACATTCTTTGGAAAAGAGCAATTCACTATGGATTTTAAACGTTTTTAAAAAGCCAGACAATTTAACCTTACATTTTATTGAGAATATATAGCAAAGACATTTTTTAAAAATCCCCTTAAATTATTAGCATTCTAGTAACAAACAGATGCTTATTTATATTAATATATAGTCTAACATTACTTTAGGATGCTTTTTGGTTCAAGAAACAATAACATTTGCAAATTATAAAGCTTTCAAATAACAATTAAATCCCATCACACTTTGTAACAAAATTCTCTGTATCCATTATTTTGTACATATTTTTTACTTTATTTATTTATTTATTTATGAGATTTATATACCGCTTTAAGTGCAAGCACTCTCTAAGCGGTGTACACCAGTAAGCAATGTATATATATAATTACATTGCCCCCAACAATCTGGGTCCTCATTTTACCTACCCTGGAAGGATGGAAGGCTGAGTCAACTTTGGCCCTGATCCAACAAAAGAAATGAAAAGAAGGCCCTATCACCAAAAAAGGTGGTAACCTAGGATTGTAGAGAAGGTGTCAGAAAGTTAAAGCCAAGTTTGGTGCCCTTATATATTCAAAATAAAAGAAAAAGAATATTAACTGCTCTGTGATGATAGTACAATAGGAACAGATAACAAAGAAAAAGTGAAGTTGATCAATTTCTATTTTGTCCCTGAATCTTCTTCAACAAGAGGGCATACATTCCAACAGCAGATTAGAAATGGAAGAATGAAAAAACCAGATTTAATCTGGAGATTAACAGAAACATATTTTAAATCTCTAAAACCATGGGAATTGCTTCCTATCTCCCAAAGGAACTTTGATAAATCATGAAGAACTGTGCCAATTGACTAGGGAAAGGCAAATGCTGTTTCAATATTCAGAAAGAGGAAAAGGGATACTATTAACTGTCAGTTTAACACATAATTGGGAAGACAGTACACTGACACTTGGAAAAGTTCTAGAGCAGTTCATAAGGTGTAATCTGTAAACATCTTGCAAACAATGTAAGATAATGATTCGACATTGGCATGAGTTGACAAGAACATATCCTAACGTAACAGACCATCTCATTTTTTTTATTACTTAACTTCCTTAGTAGGTGTAATATAGCTTGATTTCAGCAAAGCATTTGACAAAATAGCCCATCGTAGGATTAGCAAACTAACCAAAATGACCTAAATAGCATTCCAATTAATGGATTCATAACTGAAGCAAACCTGTGTTCAAAAGAGTAACTCATTCATTGTCATTAAATTACAGACAAATGGGGGAGGGGGAGGATTACAAGGATTAGTTCTAGATCCCCTCTCATATTTTTAATAATGATTTGAACAGATGAAATAATTACCAAATTCATTGGTAATTAGATGTTACAAAGACAAACCCTGTTATGAAGACAAACAAGTCCAGGTTGTATAAACAGAGGCATAGAATCAAGATCACGCAAAGTATTATTGCCACTAATACACCACACCTGGAATACTGCAGCCACTTTTGGTCACCATATCACAAAAAAGATGTAGGGAATTTGGAAAAAATTCAGAGAAGAGCAACTAAGATGATCAAAGGCCTGGAGACTAAAACATACGAAGAACGGCTATGGGACTTGGGTTTGGCTAGTCTAAAGAAAAGAAGAAATAGGGGAGAAATAGAACAGAGGGGGCCAGGTTGTTCACCAAAGCACCAGAGGGAAGGATGAGAACCAATAGTTGGAAACTGATCAAGAAGAGAAGCAACCTGAAACTAAGGAAAAACTTCCTGACAGTGAGGTCAATCAACCAGTGAAATAGCTTACCCCCAGAGATCGTGGGTGCTCCATTACTGGAGATTTTTAAGAGGAGACTGGACATTCACCTGTCTGAGATGGTGCAGGCTCTCCTGCTTGAGCAGGGGGCTTGACTAGAAGACCTCCAAGGTCCCCTCCAGCTCTATTCTATTCTATTCTATTCTATTCTATTCTATTCTGTTCTGTTCTGTTCTGTTCTTTTGGTTTTCACAGTATATTCTATTAATACGAGCATAACCACAAGTGTATGTACCTGACAGATGAGATCTCCTTTCCATATTTCTTTGAATTAGTTTGGAAAACAACATGCCACAATCTTTAAATGGCTCATCAGCACACTATTTACTTCACAATGAATGTAGCAAAGCAGTGATTGCCCTAAAGAGATTCTCTAAATCAAAAGCAAAGAAAAACAAGTGGAAAGCATAGTATAGAATGTGTGAATAAAAACTTGGGCATAGGACTTGTGAAAAAGGTCTAAGAACAGTAACTGACTGCACACTGAATATGAATCAGCATTGTGGTGTGGCTGTAAAAAAGATAAGTACTATTTTAGGCTGCATCAATATCAACAGATTCAAAGCAGGAGAAATAATAGTTCTACTTTATTCTGTGTTGATCCAACTACTGTCTTTCAGAAAAATTGAAATAGAAGCAAAAATAAACCGGGGATTAGAAAGTTTTGTGATGAGAAACTAAAACAGCTGGACATGTTAACTTTCAGAAGGGAGAACTAAGACAATATGTCATTCTTCCAATGCCTCAAAGAATATCATGGAGAAAGACAGCATCTGGCTTAATTATTCCAGAGTGCAGAATGTGGAGTAACAGATTCGAGAGAACCAAGAGAGGAGATAGGACAACCATTTGTCTTGGGTGCTCTAATTTCAGGGCTATCTGAAGTCAAGATGGTAGGCATCACATATACACACAGGACATACACAAAACAGGCAGAACTTCTATCACAGTGTGGTGGCTGCTTTGACTGTTGTGACTGCACATTGCAGAATTGATAGACTCAAATGACCCCTTCCAAGTTCTGGGATTCCACTCTTCTTTCTTCTGAGTAGGGTTTAGAGCAGCAATATTGCCATTGGTATGTTTAAATTATTTTTCATGTGTTGAAGAAGTGTGACAGGAATATCATCTTTGTCTAAAATCCTGACTTCTGACATCATGCAATAAAAATGGGTGTAGGGCAGGATTCAAATCTAAAGGTTAAAAAAAAAAAGATTTTCAGGGTTGGTAATTTTCAGGTGGTATTGGGACATCTGCTCTTTGTTTTTGTTTCATTTTTTTTACTTGCCATGTTGTGTTATTGCATTGCTCATTAAAACACTGGGAAGCGAAATCTTTTAAAATTGTTTGACATCTTGATGGAAAAACGAAGGTCACAATAAAAACAGATGTAGGAACTATCATGGTCATTCAGAGAGCTAATTGGGCCTTGTGGATAATGAATGTTCCTGCA